TTTTACTTTTGTTATTTTCCTTTGTCATCATATTGTCTTTTATCTTGTTAATACACTTTTTAATTTTGGTTTATAGCATATATTTAGTTTTTGTATTGTTTTATTATTCAAACACATTTAAACATCCATCTTATATTCGTATTTCTATTAATTTATTATTGTCAACCATCCACTTTCGTCATTTATATCTCTCTTATTTAAAATCTGTCGTGAACACAGTCGCTGTTAACCATTTCTAAATATTCTCATACGTAAGAACTAGAAACGGTAGCAATACTATAAATTATACTTATAAGTAAAATTGTAACTTATTTTTAAAACTATAAATCAGTATAAGATAGTTATTATTAATAATAATTATTCAGAGAATATGATCAAATTTAATAAACATAAAAATAAAAATACTTAGTTATCATTATATAAACTTTTAATTCTTACTAAATACTATAAATTGTATTTATAAGTAAAATATTAAAATTATAGCTTATATTTAAAGTTACAAATCAGTATATAATATATGTCAATCTTTAATCAAACTTAAACCAGACTCAACTCATATAATAGTTCAGTTTGAATTCAGTTCAAACTTTGAATTTTTTTTGAACTAAGTCAAAGTTCAGTTTGAGTTCAGTTCAAATTTTGAACTGAACTAAAAGTTCAATTCATAGGAATACTAATTGAAATCTATAATTTAAAAGATAATTACTTTAAACTTTACATAAATATAGTTATTATTACTCATTTTGTGAATATTTTTATTTATAAAGATCACAAATTGATGATAATATTAATAACTAGATATGTTCTTGTTTAATATACTTATATAATTACTATTTTTTATAAGCATCTAATTGCAAAGAAGGATAATAAATATTTTTTATTTATCTTTATGAAAATAGCACATTATTATAATTATTCTCTAATTTTTTTTAATACTGATAATATATTAGTAATTTTTTGAGAAAATAATATTAAAAATCAAAAATGATATTAATATAATTTGATATTTTTTGTATTTAATTTTATATAATTCTATATGTTATTAAATTAATGCTTAAAATAATATTATTGAATAATTATATTGATAATTAATATTTAAAATTTGAATGTCTATTTGAATTTCATTTCAAATTACAGTTTGAATTTTTATTTGAATTTTATTTGAATTTTGATTCAAAATTTAATTTAATTTGTAATTTTATTGAATATTTAATTTTTATAATTTATCTATTAATATAATATGTATTTTAGTTTATAGTTAAAATAATTAAAAAAGTTTAAAATTCAAAGTTTAAAAGTTGAACTTATTTTTTGTTAGTTTTATAACTTCTTGTCTTGATTGTGAAGTTATTATTATTATTTGATTTATAATCTCTTATTATTATTATGAAATTGTATTTCTTATAATATTTGAGATTGATTGCTTATTTATATTAGTAAAGTCAATAGTATATAATTGAATTAATAAAAGAAATTATATTCAACTTGTTTATAAATCAATTACTAAAAGAACATAATTATTTTTGAATATTTTTGATTCCATTCTAGCTAATTAACAAACAAATATACATTATCTATCTTTGAATATTCATATTTTCTCTTTTATTTGAAGTTATATTTTATAAACTCACCCACTTGATTTAATATTACTTGTTAGTTACATGATCTCTTGTGACAAAGCTTAAAACAGTAATAATATAACAGATGAAACAAAGAAAAAGTTTGTTTATTATAAAAAAATCTTTAATGCTATATTAGCATTGTATAAAAGAAAAAAGAATGATACTCAATTTGTAAAAAGCTTTGATGCTCTTATAAAACCTATTGTTAAAATCATTGAGCAGTGTGAAAAGAAATTGAATGCTCACATACAGTAAAGTACATGGAGAATAAAAAATAAAAAGCTTGCCTTCTAATTATATTGATTGTAATTAATCTTTGTAATTTAATAAAAATCTCATTTGCAATAATAACGTGTTCAATAATCGGAAAAATACAATAACTTTCACATGAATATGTGTTGTTTTTATTCATTGCACTTATATTTATCTTGGTGAAAATATATTTTCTTTGACGATCGAGTAAAAAAATCTACATAATACACAATAGATCGACCAAGGGATCAGCCGGGGATCGGATAATATATACATCACGTGATCGAAACTTTTTTCCCATGGCTAGGGTGGATACAAGTAATTTCCATCGCTGATTGGGTGATTGCACACCGGGTCTTCTAAATGATCAACCCGGCAAAACAAATCCGACACAAGAAATTAACAAGGCGAATAATGTGAAAAATACGGAAAACGAATGGGTAAACCCGGCTTGAAGCACTAATAAAAAATGTCGGGAAGACAATTTTACATATAATTTATTCTCCAGTCCTAACCCTAACCCTTAATCCTAACGCTAAAACTAACCTCAACCAATCAGAACTTGGGGAAAATTCGGTGAGCTGGATTTTTACCATGCAAGTGCATCAATAAGACACGAGGGTTTACAAAAATTAACTTTGCTTATTTAGCGAAACATTTTCAACAATGAGAATTATAATAAAAGGAGGAATTTGGAAGAACACAGAAGGTAATATTATCTTTCTTGATTTCTTTTTAAAGGTTCATAAAGTCTACTATATCTTACTCTTTTTTGCTATAGATGAAATCCTAAAAGCTGCTGTCAGTAAATATGGAAAGAACCAGTGGGCACGAATATCCTCCTTACTTGTTAGAAAATCCCCTAAACAATGTAAAGCTAGGTGGTATGAATGGCTTGATCCAAGCATAAAAAAGGTATTTTTGTTTCTACAAGAGTTCTATCATATCTTCTTCGTTAATCTTATTTACTGCTCTTTATATAATCTTTATTTAGACCGAATGGTCAAAAGAGGAAGACGAAAAGCTTCTTCATTTAGCTAAATTAATGCCAACTCAATGGCGAACCATTGCACCAATCGTCGGTAGAACACCTTCTCAATGTCTTGAAAGGTATCAAAAATTGCTAGATGAAGCTGAAGCAAAAGAAGGCGCTGATTTAGGCTTAACGGGGCCTTCAGGTGATGCAGGACCAAGTGCAGATGATGTGCGAAGATTAAGGCCTGGTGAAATCGACCCAGATCCAGAGACTAAACCTGCAAGACCTGATCCTGTTGATATGGACGAGGATGGTACGTATTTTATTTTAAGTTTCCTCATTTTTATTAGAAATGAAATTTCATTAATTCTATCACTTCATTATACAGAAAAGGAAATGCTGTCAGAAGCTCGAGCCCGTTTAGCGAACACGCAAGGCAAAAAAGCTAAACGTAAAGCACGCGAAAAGCAATTAGAAGAGGCAAGAAGATTAGCTTCCTTGCAAAAAAGACGGGAGTTAAAAGCAGCTGGAATAGAGTAATTATTTTGACAAACATATAATTATTCTAATATATTTAACTAATTTTTCCATTTAAATTCTTAAAATTTAGTTTAAAAGTAAAAAAGAAAAAAAAAGGAATGGATTACAATGCTGATATTCCGTTTGAAAAAAAACCCGCCAAAGGATTTTATGACACTACCGAAGAGAATTCTCGTCAATCAGAACAAGGAATGACTAATGTTCATCTTCAAAAGCTAGAAGTAAAACGCAGGGCAGAAGGATTTGAAGAGAGAAGTCGTAAACGTCAAAAATCAAGCAAGAACGACAAAGAAGGCGGAGGTCCGGTTAATTTTGTTCCTGCTAGCTCAACGCAACTAAATAAATTGAAGCAAGCCGAACAAATAAGCAAAAGAAGAAAATTGGTCTTGCCAACACCACAAGTTGGAGAAGATGAACTCGAAGAAGTATATATGTTGATTTAAAAATTTATCTTAATAATTTTAATACCTATAATTTGTTTTACCTAATAGATAGTAAAAATTGGGTTTGCTCGTGACACCTCTGGATTGCCAATGGTAACGCCAAGGACACCAGCCACGGGCATGACGTCTCTTAGAACGCCTCGAACACCTGCCTTTGGTAGGTGCTCTTTGATCTATCGAGTAAATTTAAATAAGATTTTTATATAGAAATATTGATCATTAGTAATTTATAGCTAATCCGGCTGCTATTAAACAACTTCGAAATGAACTATCAAGACTTCCAGCTCCAAAAAACGATTTTGAAATTGTTTTACCAGATGTTCAATCAGGAGATATTCAAGTGGATGAAATAGAATTTATTGAAGAAGATGCTGCTGATCGTGATCGTAAACTTCGGGAGCAACAAGAAGCAGAAGGTAAATTTATTATATAAAAATATCATCAGTGTTAACTTTACCTTTATTTAACATCAATTTCGATTATTATCATCAATAGAACGAGCTATGCTTTCACGCATATCTCAAGTAATCCAACGCAGTCTTCCTCGTCCTATTGATGTCAATGAAAAATCATTACTTCAATTATCTCAAAGTGAAGACGAAGTTTATCAGTTAATCAATCTTGAAATGGTTCAATTACTGCATCATGATGCAGTAAAATATCCTGTTCATCATAGCAAGGTTCCGGGTGGCCCAGTGGAACCACTGGAGGAATTTTCAAATGAAGTTTTAGCAAATGTATATATAGTTTTTCGCCTGGTGTTATTTCGGATATTACATCAACAATTAGTTTTACAATAATGGATATAAGTATTAATTTTAATCTTTTTCCTGCTTTAGGCACGTAAAGCAATAGAAGAGGAACTTTTTCTCTTAATTAAGAAAGACCCTCACGGGGTAATTAATGGAAGCGATATTCCTGAGATCGAACGCTTTGATGAGTTTTGGCAAAGAATAAACGATAATAACAATAATGATGACATTAAAAAAGATGATCTTATACGAGAATTTCAAAATACTCATGAGGTAATTAGCAATTATGATAATTATAGGAAATACGTTTTGCTTCATAACTAATTTATGTACATTACGAATAGTTTAATCGAAATGCAATGATTAAAGAAGCCACTAAAGCAGCAAAAATAGAGAAAAAACTAAACCTAACTCTGGGAGGATATATTGTAAGTTATTGTTATTCAAAGAATAATTGCGAGTTTTTTGAATACGCGTTAACTCATTTCAAAATTTGTAATTTAGTCGCGTTCTCAATCATTGTCCAAAAAGGTTAATGAAACATCTGAGCAGCTGGAACAAGCAAAAATTGAATTGGATTCCTTTAAATCGTTGAGTGTTTCTGAAAAAGAATCTATACCTTTACGTATGGAGGTAAGAATTTGGATATTATTAATTTTAATAAAATACCATATAAACTTATTTACATTCATTCTTTTATTTAGAAACTGCAAAATGAAGTTGATCATCTCGCAGGACGAGAATCTGAATTACAGAAGAAATATGCGCATCTTTCAATCGAAAGGCAGGCTATTCTCGAAAGAATTGAAGCAATGCAAAGTAAAAAAGATGACATTTAAAATAGCTAAATCGCAACAAATATCAAAATAATCTAAAAAATATTTTTAGTAATAACATTTTGGAAATATTACTGATTACAATATCCAATTACAGATTTAATAAATGATTTGTATTAAATCTGAAATATCTGGTTAATATTATAAATCTGAAATGCCTAGAAAATCATTTTTATTAGATTCTAATGAATCATGCACTGCGAATATTATTCATTACTGCGGAGATACCTAACTTTGGAAAATCATGGGATATTTTAAGAACCAATTAAATTAAATTAAATTATTCCCTCGAAACTACTCCGTTTTAAGATCTGTAATATATAATTCGAAATAAAATATATTTTTTTATCATATTTATCTTCTTTTCGAACTACTATGGAGGATAGCCAAGCCCAAGTTGCAACTTCTGAAGCCAAAAAGAACCCAATACTTATTAAACCAAAAGGTTTTGGATTAAAAGGCGGTCCCACGAAATCCCCCAATACACCCACGAGACTCCCCAATACACCCACGAGACTTAAACCAAATATAAATCTTGCCCAACTTGGTGGAATAACTCCGAAAACTCCCTTTGCAAACTTTTCCCGATATGTGTGAGCTCTATTTGATTCATTTTTAAAATCAATATTTATTGTGAAGAAGAATTCTAAAATAATGTCTTCAAAATTAGAGACCCCTCTGGAAAATTGAACTTCAGTGGAAAAGCTGTTCTTCATGCGAAAGGAGTTGATTTTAGCAACGGTAACAGCTATAAAATAAATATGGATGAGCTTAGGCTAGAGGAAGAACTTGGAAAAGGTCAATTTGGCACTGTGCAAAAAGTATTTCATAAACCAACAAACGTTACTATGGCTATGAAAGTTCGTATTTGATTTTTTGCATTTTTCTTTTTTACTGTTAGTTTATTATCAGTTACTACTATCTTTACCATTATTATCTCTATTACTATCACTGTTACTATCATTACTACTATTACTATTTTTATTTCTATTAATAATGCTATTGTTATATTACATGAAGCTATAACAAAATTTGCATCTTTTTTTTTAGGAAATTCGGCTCGAACTTGACGAGGGAAAATTAAATCAAATACTAATGGAGTTGGACATTCTTCATAAATCACACAGTTCATATATTGTGGAATTTTATGGTGCTTTCTTTATAGAATCGTGTGTCTATTATTGCATGGAATACATGGATGCTGGGTCATTGGATAAGTTATATGGAGATGGAGTTCCGGAAGATGTACTTGCAAAAATTACAACTTCGGTGAGCTTGCCTTTATGATTAGAAATTGATTTTTTGCTTTTCTAATTTATTAAAGTTATTTTTCAAATATAGATAGTAAAAGGATTGAAATTTTTAAAAGATGAATTGAGGATAATTCATCGTGGTAAGCTATTTTATACAATTGTAAGTTTTAAATTTTTTTCTTAAAATATTTTACAAAAGAAGATTATTATCCTTTATATTTCTTTTATTTATAAACAATAACAAAATAACAACAACTACAGATGTCAAACCGACAAATGTATTAGTAAATATGCAAGGCGAAATAAAACTTTGCGATTTTGGAGTATCAGGACAACTTGTTCAATCACTTGCAAAAACAAATGTCGGCTGTCAAAGTTATATGGCGGTGAGTGTGTATGCTAGTTAGTAATCGATATTTTCATATTTAAAAAGATAGCATAATTTTATGTTAACTAGTAATAAGATTATTATATTATTACCATATATAGCCAGAGCGAATATCCCAGGATGAAGTTAGTACATACACAGTACAGTCTGATGTTTGGTCACTTGGACTTTCTTTGCTGGAACTTGGTACGGGAAAATATCCTTATCCAACACCCGATAAGACAACAGGGATACTTGTACAATTAAATGCTATTGTACAAGGTGACCCACCATCGTTACCGGACGATAAGTTCTCAGAAATTTGCCGTAATTTTGTTGCACAATGGTATTATTCTTTTGTTCGGGTCATCGGAAAATTTTTAACGTGAAATTATATATTAAAAAAATATATATTTTTTTGTATTATTAGCCTCAATAAAAATCCAAAAGAACGTCCAACATACGGAGAATTATTAGTAAGTCTAAACAAATAAATTTATTCTTTTATTTCAAAACTATATTTATATAATTACTACAATTAGGATCACCCATTTTTACAAAAATATGAAGAAATCGAAGTAGATATGAAATCATGGGTAGTGCAAGCATACAATGCACGGCAAGATAGTGACAAAAAATCCTAGTAGTAATAATACATTTTATTAATTAATTTGTCCCATTCCCATCATAACACTAGACATGATCGCCGACCTTTTAATATTTTGAAAATTCGATTTTTGAGGGAATTTCATTAATATGAAACTTTTGTTCAATATTTAAAGATATTAAATAGAATGAATATTTTTGGCAAAAAAATCAAGCTTATTTTTTTATTACACCATGTCAAGAAAATTCTTAATGCAAACTTGATTTCTTTCGAATCGTAGACATTATCATAATAAATAAAATGAATGCTAAATATTTTAAAAATGAACAGTGGCAATCAAAAGAAATGCAATCAAAATTTATTAATAAAATATAATAAAACGCGAGTTTTTCTTTATCAAATTTTCAATTTTATTAATCAATATTTGTTATTTTTATACAAATAATAATCCATATATTTTTTTAGATTAATCTTCTAATTGCAAAGTAAATTATTTTTTTATATATTTTAAGGATCAATTTAATTATAATAACTGTTACATGTAACAACTTCAATATTAATCAATTACACATTCAGAATTTTAATTCTAATCCTAACTCAAAATTCTAATTAGCCAATTAATATTAAAATATAATTGTAACAAATAATAATTTTAATTATAAAAATTAATTTATTTCGCAATTAGAAAAACTTTGTCAGATTTAATCGAAAAAAAATTTATTTGTATTTTTTGTATAAAAATAAATATTATATTTTATTAATAAATTTTGATATTGTTATATTTTTATTGTTATTATATATTTAAATGTAATAAATAATTACAAATTATAAATATATTTAATTAGTTAATTTATTTTTGATAATATTTTATTAATTATATTACAATTTTCAAATATAATATTTTTATTATTTTAATTAGTTTTATAATTTTCAAGTATATATAATATATAAAAAATAAATACAAATTTAATTTATAAATATAATGAATAGACTCATTTTAAGTATATTACAAATTAAATTTTGTATTTACTCTTAATAAAAAAGTTTATTCATTTTATAAATACAAATATTTAATAATTTGAAATATTATATATCATAATATATATTTTATATAATTTTAATTAGATAAAAAAGATAAAATATTATTTAATTAAAGTATTGAAAATACAATCAAAAGTAATATAATAACATCAAAATTTATTAATTAAATATAGTAAAATATGGATTTTGCTTTTTAATTTTACTAATAAATATTTTTTATTTTTACATTAAAGTAAAAATAATATTATACATATAATAGAATTAATTTTATCTTTTTCTCATGGTAATTGGTCAAATAAATTATTAATTATTAATTAATAATTAATTGGATAACTATATTAATAAGATACTGTATTAATACTGGAATTATCAAATATGAAAATACAGAAAGATAAATGGAGATATTATAACAAATATGAGTATTACTATTATTTTTAGTTCTTACATATAAGAATATTTAGAAATGACTAATAATAACTGTCTTTATAGCAAATTTTAAATAAAAAAAATATAAATAATAATAATAAATTATTAATAATAACAAACTAATAAAAATATAAATATAAAATGAATATTGAATATATTTAAGTGATAAATAAATAATACTAAATAAAATATATACTATAAATTAAAGTTAAAAATATATTATAAAAGATAATAATATAATGACAAATAAAAATAATCAAAAATAAGATAAAGAAAAATAAAAAAAGAAATAAAACAAATAAATATAAAACAAACAAAAAAACAAACAAGAAAACAAAAAGAATAAAACAAAAATTAAAATCAAAACATAATTTTTTTAGTTTATTTTAAATTAACTTTATATTATATATATAGTTAAATTCTTTATAATTATACTTATTTATAATTATATTTCTTTATAATTACTTTATTTTACTTTTTCATTTATATATAAATATAATAAAAAAACTTATTTATAATAATATCATTTCTATAATTATCAAATTTTGCTTTTTTAAAAATAATGACTATAAAAAGATTTGATTATATAGCAAATTTGAGTTATGCTAATCTATATACTATTTATATATATAATTTATAAAGAAAAATTAATAAAAATATAAATATAAAACATGCTGATACATAATAATTATTATATAATATTAAAAGAATTTGTATAAATTCTATATATTACTAATTAAATTAATATAATAATAGATAAAAATAAAATATCAATAAGATTTAAAATATAAAATAATATAATAATACTATGAATTAATTATTTATTTGAATAATAATAAAATCTAAATTAAAATAATGTAATAATAATTGAATAAAAATATGAATTATTGCTATTGAATAAAATATATAAAAATATAAAAATAAAAAATATTAAAAAAAATATTATTGCACTTGAAAATAATATATAATAATAATAATAAAAGATAAAATAATAACAAAATCCTCCATCTAAAAGTTTTGCTCCACAAAACTAATTAATAATTATAATGAATTCAAATGCTAGTTGATTATTAAAAGTTTGAAATAATCTCTATTATATAAGTTTTTAAGAACTTTATCTTTTATTAAACAAAGTTTATAAGTATTTTATTAAAAATATTATAGATCTAATATGAACTTATTTATTTTTCTCCAAACTTATTATAATATTAATATTGATTTTGAACTTTGTTTTTATTATAATATTTTTTGTTTAACTTGAGACTTTTAAATATTTTGAAGTGTTAATTCATGATTAATTTTTAATTTA